ACTCTCCTCTCTAATCCTCTGTGGCTATGTCACTGACTTTGGGTCCTGCCACACTGCTGGCCAACCAGGTCTCCACCCAGGTTCACAGTATATTGAACGTAGTAGGGCTTAGTTTGCAGCTTCATTGCTGTTTTTCCCTCACTTCCCTTTATCGGTGACCAATGTGGTCATCAGTCAGAGCACATGTCTGTTTGTGTATTCCCATTGAGTCTTAGTCTTGGAAGGGGGTTTACCCTGAGGGGACCCGACCACTTGCCTTGATGTCTCTCCTGGGTGAGCAACTTGCTTGTTCTTGTAGTAGTCAGTTGGACTGCTTTATTGTTTTGTATTTTTCCTGTCGGTCTTTCTTTCAAGAAGTATCTTCTGTTCTTCTAGCTGCTCCAGGCTGGTCTGCTTGTCCTTTCCAGTGGAAATTTCCCACCTCAGAAGATTCTGGTTGGGGTTCAGGATTCTACCTATGGCTAAGACACTTTTTTTTTTTAATTGGTAAATGAAGAGGAAAGATTTAAGCATTTCTCTTTCCTTCTCTTATAAGAACTATATCTCTGGGTAACTGACTATAGTGACTAAGGGAAACTTTATAGAAGTCTTTCAGTCACAAATAAAGAAGAAACAATAAAAGTAGAATATCACTATTTTAAATGACATCAGGAGATGCAATCAACAAACTTTAAACTCTGAAGAGTCTGACAGCATTGGACCAGAGTCCTTTAGCAAACAAGCTACAAAAGGAGAGAGTCTATACATTAAGAGACTAAAGAGATGTTTAACTGAGTAACCAATTACAATTTGAATCTGAATTAAACGCACTTTTTAAAAAAAAGTCAGGAAAATAGGGATGCTGGTGGGATATTTGGTGTGGAGAATTGTGTATTTTCTGTTTGTTTTTTGAAGTCTATTCCTTTTATAGACATATACAGAAATATTCATGATAGCCAGCATTTTCTGCAAAATAACCCAGGGGAGAAGAGGATGCAGATGAAACAAGATTAACTATACTCTGATAACTGTTGAAGATAGGCAAAAGATACGTGGGGTTTATGATACTTTTTTTTTTTTTTTACTTTGATGTATGTATGACATTTTACATATTAAAAAAAAAAAGAAATATGGTAAGAGGTGTGCCAGGACATCACTTCAAGGCCAAACTTGTAAAATCCATAGTTAACAAAATAGAGCACAGCTCTTGGCAACCCATCAGTGAGGTGCGCTCCGGTGATGATATCGGCGAGGCTGTCCATGAGGGGTTCCGGCAGCTAGTTCTGAAGTCGGTGGAATTTCTGATGGTGTCTCACCATCACCTCCAAAGTCATGAGGGCCAAGACTGTAAGCTGGCCCTACCAAGTGAAGCAGACCCTGAATCAACCTGACCCATGGCTGGGAAGCAGCCTCGTTCCACCAGGGCTGGGCCTAGACATGAAATGTTCACCCATGTTTCCCACCCTCAATTCCTTCCATGAAAGTATGGTTTGCATGATCCAACCATTTATCACCTCAACCACACCTGCCCACTTCCAAGCAAACTCTTCCTAAGGAGACTGCTTGCAAGCCTGGGTTGTCACCAGGGTTAAATAATTTCCTGAATGTTCCCCAAACATTTCCTTTCATTTCTTTCTATTGGAGATGTGCTCCACAAATACCAAGGTATTGATTTTCCGATTGATCTGGGTGGAGAATGCCTCACACAGTTATGACTCTTGACAAGCTGGGAATAAGAAGCCAACCATAATGAGTTCATTTACTTTGCTTGATTATATTACGATACGACACCATGTGACCACCAACATGCCCTTCCAAGGACACATACCCGTGCCCAAGCTGCCGACTCCTCAAAATGCTTCTGGGGAAGCTGAAATCCATTTTGCTGTATTTTATATGCATTTTTAAAGCATCCTTCGGGTTTGGTTTTATTTAGAAGTACGCGATGGAGTCTTTCCTGCATCAGGAAGGGCTTGATGGATCGAAAGCGGATGAGTCAGATTTGGGGAAGGGGCAATAGAGGGTGCTTGTTGAGAGCCTAATTGTTGGTTATAAATATGCTGTGCTTCTCTATTGGTTATATGACACTGAGCTGGAAAGGATTACCTTATTAGATCATATTTAGCCATGAGTTTGCTCTGCAAGCTTCTACTCCGGGCACTTGCGAGTGACTAGTTATCTGAGACGAAAAGCGAGGTCTATGCGGAGCCCCAGACGGCTAGTACATTGTCCCTCTTCCTGTAAAGACACCCTTGGACAACTTGATCCTTTCAGGGACCTCATAGATGCACTCTGTGCTGACCGGCCTCCTGTGACCCCATCAGGTTTTCTGCATTTTCTCAGCAAATTAGAAGGTGGGCGCTAAATGGGACTTGTGTTTGTACATCTGCCTGACTGGCTGAAACTTCTCCTCGTGGTGAAATACATCTCATAAAGTGTGTCTTTATCCCCTTTCTGAAGACTGTGTGATTCCGTGACCTTCATTAGCTCCACCATGTTGGGCCACCATCACCATTATCCATAGGTTTTCATCCCTCACTAAGCAGGAACTGAGAGCGTCCTAAGCCAGAGCTCCCTCAGCCAAGCAAGCACTGATGGACGTCTGTCTTTTTCTATGCATTTGCCTAGTGTAACTATTTCCTATTTGGATCATTCAGCACCACGCTTTCAACTTCATTCAGGTGTCAGAACTTGCTTCCTCTTGATGACCGAATAACATTCCTTTGTTTGGAGTCTTATTGTATGTGACCACTGTCCAGGCACGTAGGGAGCAGAAGTGGCCAGCCAAGAATCTCAGAGACAGGAAATTGGGATGTTGTTGATAAAAAGCAGCTGATAAGTGTGGGCCCAGCACCCCACGTGTTCACTGCCTTCCCAGGAGGGCAGTGAGTTGTCAGGGTTTCCGTCCGTTGCACTTGCTCACTAAATCCACCCCCACTTTGGCTATGCCAGGGAGGGGCTTCTCTGAGGGGGAATCGGGTCTGTGGGACTCACCCACAGTCACAGAGAAGTGAGGAGAGCTAGAATGCTGAGTCATTGGCTCCAGATGTCTTATCATCAGAAACACGGACATTGTGGGGCTACAGGTTCCATGATGGAGTCCTAAGGGACCCCTGAAAGACAAAGGCAGCTTCGCCCCCCAAAAGCAAGAACTAAAGGCTTGTTGAAGCATTTTGATAAGAAGGCAAGGAAGTACAGATTGCAGCTTTTAACTAGTTCCTCCAGAAAATTAACAAACAAGCGTGAGGGTGTGTCCGAGGCACGTTCTCTGCTGTCTCCTACGTCATCAGGCTGTCTGCCATCATTCATTTCCTGGGAGTCTGGGGAGCGCCAAACTTGAAAGTGAGTCCTTCTCTTTAAAGAGTGTCGGGCTCAGCTGGCGACCCTCAGTTCCAGACTTGGACCAAAAAGCATATGGAAAGTATATAAGAAGATGCTTATCGTCATTAGGGAAACTTGAACCAAAACCACAGTGAGATACCACTTCACCTCCATTAGGATGCCTAGTGCCAGAAAAAAATGGTAACAAGTGTTGGGGAGGGTGTGGAGAAATTGGAACTGGGATTGTAAAATGGCCCAAGAGGTAGTTACGGAGAAAAATGGAGCCTTCATCCACTGCTGGGGGGATTGTAAAATGGCTCAGCACCTACTAGACAACAGTTTTGGCAGGCCCTCAAATTCTGACCCAGCGATTTCACTCCAAAGACTTGAAAACAGACCCTCAAATAAATAGCTGTGTGCCAGTGTTCGGTAGTCTAGCGCAGTAGTCACAAGAGCTAAAAGACAGAAACAACCCGTGTCCATCAACAGATGAATGGATACATACAATGTACAAGGATTCCTGGTGTGGCATTTCAAGTTAAGCACTGGACTGCTAATCCCAAGGTCAGCAGTTCAAAGCCACCAACCGCTCCACAGAAACCCTGAACAGGGTTGCTATGAATCAGAACTAATTCAACAGCACGTAACAACAACATATATGTACAATGGAATCTCACTCATCTTTAAAGATAAGCAAAGTTCTGACACATATTACAACATGGATGAACTATAAAGGTATGTTGTTATTGTTGTTGTGAGGTGCCGTCGAGTAGATTCCGACCCATAGTGACTGTGTATAGGGCTTCCAAGGAGCAGCTGGTGAGTTTGAACTGCCAGCCTTGCTATTCAAATGGCTTTGCAGTCTGCGGCATTAGCCCACAGTGCCACACCAGAACTCCATAAAGGTATGAGGCTGACTGAAATCAGTCAGGCACAAAAAGACAAACATTAGATGAGCTCACTGACAGGGAACATCTCCAATAGGCGAGTACAGAGAGACGAAAGGTAGATAAGGGAACAAGAGCAATGGGTTAGGGGGCTCTGAGTTTCTGCTGGGGGGGAGGGTGGAAAACTTGTAAAGCTGGATCATGGTGGTGGCCATCCACCATGGCATAATGAAGGTCATTGAACTGTGCACTTAAAAACAGTGAAAAGGGCACAGTTTTTGTTATATATATTTCACCACAATAATTTTTTTGAGAGAGAGAGGAGAGCCCTTGCCAGCCCCAGGCCGGGGCAGGAACTCTAGAAGGGGAACAATTAATCTCTCCATTCGTACAGGCAAGCTGCTCCCCAGCTTCGATTTTGGCTGAGTTGTTTAATTTCCACTTCCGTTAACAGCCTGCCTTTAATGTCGCCTCTCTCCTTATTCATCCCTGCCTTTCCGAGCTGCCACAGAAACCTCTCTAGGCAAAACAGTAAAAGTGAATGATACGTCCGAGCCAGGTTCGTTCTCGGTAATATATAACTTGGCCACTAAAGCAATTACTTAATGCAGTGTTCCTCTGGAAGGGCCGAGGACGCTAAGTAGGAAGCCTACTGTGTGCCAGACCCCAAGTTGGCCATGTCACCTTGTCCATCCATCCTGACACAGGGTCTCTGAGGTCTGCTTTTGCTGATGCACCATAATCCCGGTCCCACCTCGCTCCTACCTGCAGATGGGGTAGCTCTGCCCCGGGGAACTTCCTCATGGCTCCGAGCTACTCGGCTGGGCCCACAGACAGGAGGTCCTGTTTCCTTGCCACACCTGAGGGGACACAGAGATGCATGGGGTCCATGCTGAGGTTGCCACCCTGCCAGGAACAACCCCAGGTGAGTCTCACTTTGCTCATCTGTGAACGAGCAGGATGGGTTTGAAGGTCCCCCCACCCAGATTGTTCTTTGCAAATCCTGTGAGTGCACAATTCCTTCTGCCCACAAGGCCTCATAGGTCGAAGCTGCAGAAGGGGCTGGGCAGAGCCCCTCATGGGCACAGTGACCCACATCCGGTTCTCAGAGTCCTGCCCCTTTGCAGCCCTGGTCCGCCCCCACCTCACCTTAACCATCTGTCTCCCTGCCCCGTCGTCCTTGTACCTTCATCCTCCCTCCTCATCCTCATCGCCCCACCCCCCTCACCCCTCACTCCCATTCTCTCCTTGCAGCACAGTCAAGGCCTGGAGCTTAGGGTGAGGACTCGCTACACTTCAGGCAGGGCCACTGTGCTTGCTGTTCTTCTTCCCAGCATGCTCTTCCCTACACACAGGACTCTGCCCCCGCCCTGTGACTCCCTGCTCAGTGCTCTCCGGCTCTGCTCAGCTCCAGCCTTTTCACAGCAGAACCTACCACCTTCAATTATAGCATCTCTAGACTTGTCTAGTCAGTCTGTCCCTTTGCAATGCCCATTCCAAGAGGACAGATCTCATCTCTGAGGCCTCCCTCCCTACACCTCCTGCATCCAGTGCCCAGCACAGAGCAGGCACCCAGAAATGCTCATTTAGTGAATGCATGAATGGAACGTGGACACTTGAATGAGGTCTTTGTGCCCCACCCATCTTGGTCATCATCTTTAAATGGTCAGCACTCATCAATGACAGCCCTCCTTGAACAGGCTGCCACTGCAGGTGCTGGGCGTGGCGATCCAAGCTCTGCCTTCCACACCAAGCTCTGCCTGGGATCAGAAGAAGGACTGCTCTGGAACAAAACTCACCTCTGTGCACTTGTAAGAGTAGACTGAGGGCTTGACACACTTCAACTGATACATAATTTTGCAGGCCACCATCACGCATGCCCAAAGGGTGGAGATGAGGCCTGCATGCAGACATAACTTAGCATAGGGCAGCAATGCTGCCCAGGAGATATAAAACAGGAAGTTCATCAAAAACACCTACAAGGGAAACTGAGGTTTGTGCAGGTCTTTACTCCTGACTATGACCTGAGCATTCTGACTAGGGTGACAATACTGTGAGCAGCCATGAAGCCACCCTCAACTCATGGCCACCCTATGCACAACAGAAGGAAATGCAACCCCATGATTGGTTGAGGATCGAACCATGTGATACTCAGATTTTCAGTGGTTGATTTTCAGATGTAAATCCCAGGTCTTTCTTCCTGGTCCCTCTTAATCTGGAAGTTTCACTGCAACCTGTTCAGCATCCTAGTAACCTGGGAACCTCCACTGACAGGTGGGTGGTGGATATAGTGTGCTTGATGCATTGGGCGGGAATGGAACCTAGACCTCTCCCACGGGAGGTGTTGGATTGTACCACCAAGCGGCCATTACCTCCCAAAAGAAAATGGCAGTCTGGGCCTTTGACCAGAAGTCAACAGCGTGACAAAGGAAAGGGGAAAGGATTTCAAAACCGGAGCCCAAAGCTCTAAAATAGGGGTGGGGAACATCTGACCCAGAGGCCATATAAGACCCATGAAATCATTTGGTCTGGCCATTTTTGGTGTTGTTAAGTGCTGTAGAGTGGGTTCCGACTCATAACGACTCTATGTAGGAGCAGCTGGTGGGTTTGAACCACTGACCTTGCAGTTCAAACTGACCTTGTGGTCCAGAGCATTATCCTGCAGCACCACACCAAGACTCCTGAACAAATACAACAGGTTACTTTTTAAGTTGATAATTGTGTATAGCCTGTGAATGATGTTATTAATATCCAAATGGCCCTTGGCAGAAAAAATGTTCCCCATGCCTGCTCTGAAACAAGATGGCGCAGGAGCTCCTGAAAGGCCACTGACCTCCTGCAGCCATCTTGTTTCAGAGCAGGGGTGGGGAACCTGAGCCAGATGATCACAGAGGACACCAGCTTATGATGAAGGTACACCAGATGGCTCTCCAGGACACACCACAGGAACATTTGTGTTCCATTAACCGCTTCTAGAAGCTTCAGGAAACCACTCACCGGCTTATCAACTGCCAAGTCCCAATCATGCGTGTAGCCCTCTGAGAGGAAGAGAAAGGTTTTAACTGGCCCAGTTCCTTCTTTAAAACAACATGAAAACCCCTAGATATAGGAGGAAGTGGAGACAAAGCAGAGAAAACTACGAAGAGATTTTTTTTGTTTTTAAATAAGAAGAAGGCTGTTTTCCAATAGCACCATGTACCCATGGCAGGGGCCCTCAACCCCAACATTCCCTTCCTCTCTGTCCCAATATTATTGTGTCTCTTTCAGGCATACTGCAGTTCTCACCAGGTTCAACTATCTGTTAACATTCCTGCTTCCCCCTCTAGACCAGGGGTTGGCAATCTGTTTCTGTAAAAGGCAAGATAGTAAATATTTTAGATTTTGCAGGCCATATGGTCTCTGTCACAAATATTCAACCCCTGCCATTATAGTGTAGTTGAAGCAGCCACTGAGAGTATGGAAATGAATGTGGATGAACATTCAAAAACAGGAAGACTGAGTATGGCTCAGGAACCGCAGTCTGCGGAGCCTTGCTCAGATTTTATGCTCCTTGAAGAGAAGAGAAAATAGCTATTTCCCCATACCGCCCTAGGGCTTAGCACAGAGCCTGGCTCTTGAAAGGCACCCATTAACTGTGGATGTATGACTGAGTGAAAAAACTGTCATCACTGCTTGTTGTTGTTGTTAAGTGCCATCAAGTCGACTCCGACCCATAGCGACTTTGCATAGGATTTCCAAGGAGCAGCTGGTGAGCTTGAACTACAGACCTTGCAGTTCAAATGACTTCGCAGTCTGATGCATTAGCCCACAGCACCACGCCAGGACTCCCTTAGGGGACATCTTTCTGTATTTACTGTTCCTCATAGTTCAAACTCACCAGCTGCTCCTTGGAAACACTATTCGGGGTTGCTATGAGTTGGAACCAACTGAACAGCACTTAACAACAACAATATAGCTGAGAAAGACAATAAATTAGTAAAATGAAAGAGACAACCAAATAGTAAAGAGTCCCGGTGTGGCACTGTAGGATAAACACTGGACCGTAAGGTTGGTTTGAATTGGAAGGTCTGTGGTTCAAACTCATCAGCTGCTCTTCAGAAACCTTATACAGGGTTGCTATGAATGGGAATCAATTCAGCAGCAACCAAGTAGTGAGGATTCAGAAAATGGCAGACACAGTGCTAAGGCTCCCACACCACAGGCTAAATGGAACATCACACACTCTGGAATCTTTAGCCGCCAGTTAGCTCTCCAACTAGGAAAAGCAGACTCCAGAGATCTTTGGCCCTCTCAGTTTGTGAGCTGCATAATCATTGAAAGTGTCCTGGCAACTGTTAACCTAACCACTATTGGAATGATTGTGGAATTCTGAATTTGCAGGTCCAACAAACGCAAAGTGGTGCCTGGGAATAAAAACATGGTGGCTAAGGTAGGAGCAACCAGAGAGGTGGTCAGGGACAAGGTGTCCTATCCCCTCTTCATCTAGAGCAATTGATTGCCCTCTCTAAGCACGCTGCAGTTGTATTGAATCAGTTCAACAGCCTTGAATGATTTTGTTTTTTTAAAGGAACTAATTGTTTAAATTAGTTTACTTTGGACACATTGTCCGGAGAGAACAATTGCTGGAGAAGGATGGCATGCTGGATAAGGTGGAGGGTCAGAGAAAAAGAGGAAGAACCTCAATGAGATGGATCAACCAGGTGGCATCATTGATGGCGTCAAGTGTGGTGGCGGTAAGTGAGGTTGGCCCAGGATCGGACATTGTTTCATTCTGCTGTGCATGAGGTCGCTATGAATCGGTTCTGACTCGATGGCACCTGACGACAACAACAACAACAATTGTTTAAATGTCCAGGGTTCTTGGTAACACTAGGGAGCAATCCCAGACAGTGCCAAGCAGGGGTTCTTGGGGAAACCAGCATTTCCCACCTTCTGGTGCCTTCTGCACCTGGTCTCCATCCTCGGTCTGTGTCCACAGTTCACCCTTCACGTCGCTGCCTGCTTTGTCTGCCAAGTTCCATGTGGCCTCCTTCTCCCTGTGTGTTTCTAGACTAAGGATCCAAGGCAGGACATTTGGACATCGAGAGTTCAGTCTAGACTGCTAGCCTATTGGATCAAATCTCACAAGTGAAATGGATCCCATATGGGTAAGAGACAGAATCTATGATTTTTAAGTTTGATATGATTGTATTTGCAGTCTTGGGAATTCTTCCTATAATTTTATCATATTCTCAGGGTACAATTAACTTCAAAAGCCAAGATGGAAGCATGCATTTTTCTTCACTACTTGGTTCTTACCTCTTCCAAAGTTTCCAAATGGAATCCTTAAGTCTCAGAATGAGACAGAAAGAGAAAGAAAGAGAGGAGAGAGAACCTCTCTGCTTCTATTCATTTCTCCATTGTTGTTGTTGTTGTTGCTAAGTGCCGTCGAGTTGGTTCTGACCCATAGCGACCCTGTACAGGGTTTCTGAGGCTGTAAATCTTTACGGGAGCAGAATGCCTCATCTTTCTCCTGCGGAGCAGGTGGTAGTTTCGAACTGCTGGCCTTAAGGTTCGTAGCCCGATTCGTAACCACTACGCTACCAGAGCTCCTTTTGATTTATTTAAACAGAAAACTCCCTACTAGGTTTTTAGATATTTGATTTATTCACTGTATGGGTGAGACAATCCACATTTAAAAAAAAAGATTCAATAGCTCCTAAAGGCAATGCCCCTACATATTATTTTTTTAATGATTCAAAAGCTGCTAAAGGTTTACAGCAAACAAGGTCTTCTCCTTCCCACCTCTGTCTCCTGCCCCTAAAGTAAGCACCAGCATGGTTTTCTTTGGTATTCTTCAAAAAATATGCTTTGTATGTGTAAGTGTGGGTATATACATCTTGTTATTTAACAAATGGTAGCACGTTCTATTCGTGTGTGTTTTTCTCACTTGGCAATACATCTTGGAGTTTATGCCGTATCAGCATGTAGAGAGCTGCCTCATTCTTCTTATTGGCTGCATAGCATTATGCTGTGGGAGCACACCATAATTTGTTTAAGCCCCTCGTGATGTGCATCCATCGCCTGCTGAAGTTTTTAAAAGAATGAGATAAACACACACGATTAAGCAGGTGAGGCATAGCTGGCGTGCCAATCCCAGAACCTCACCAGGAGAGAGCCTTAGAGAGGAGAGGGGAAGGAGGAGACTCTCACATGTCTGCCAGAAGTGACATGTCCTTTCCTGACTCCATGTTGTTGGGGGAAGGTGGGAAGACAGATCACAAAACATTGATGTAAGACATATGGTAGGGGCCAGAAAGCCCCAAATTCTCAAAGAACCCCTCTTCCTACAGCTACAATAACAGGTTCGCTTCTGAAACCCTTCACCCCGGACACCATTTAATGAGCCTCAATGACCCTTAACAGAGTCCTGGTGTGGCGCTGTGGGTTAATGCATCAGACTGCAAAGTCATTTGAATTGCAAGGTCGGTGGTTCCAAGCTGCTCCTTGGAAACCCTAGACAGGGTCGCTATGGGTCGGAATCATCTCCACGGCACTTAACAACACAACAATGACATTTTACAACAACAATGGAACCCAGGGCCTCAAAAGACAGCATTTCTCCATCAACTTCCAGAACCCTCATTCACAGTAAGAATGATTCCATATGAACATTATTTCAGAGAATGCAGGGGAGAGGAGGGGGGTGCTGCTCATCTACCTGGCTTCCCAGCACCCCAGAGACCCAACCACCTCACCTCCACCCACTCCTTTGTTTTTCAATCTCCCAACCCCACCTTGAGTATGAACTTTGTTGTTGTTGTTAAGTGCCGTCGAGTCGGTTCCGACCCATAGCGACCCTGTACAGTGTTTCCGAGGGTGTAAATCTTTACGGGAGTAGAAAGCCTCATCTTTCTCCCGCGGAGCGGCTGGTAGTTTCGAACCGCTGACCTTAAGGTTCGCAGCCCGATGACTCAATGTTGACAAAAAAAAAGAAGAATCTGCAACCCTAGAGGGAAAAAGAGAATCCCACCGTGGTACTTTGCGCCCTTTTTCATGTAAAGCGTTAGGTTTGTTGCAAAGTTTGATTAGAGGCGGGTGAGGAAGGTGGGGGGTGGGGAACGAAGCCGGTGTTGAGACGTTAATCTCCTGCTTCATTTTTCTTAGGAAGAAAATGAATGGCTTTGGCCACATACCACATTGGAAAACAAGAATTCTGTGAAATACTCTAACATATTAGTGACTCAGTCTGAAAATTAAAAACAAAAAAACTTTAAAAGCCAAGTTTCACAGCCAGCTTCTTAATTTAGTGAAAGTACAGAATGATAAAAACAAAAATAAAACCAATCCTTAGGCATCTAAAACATCTACTAAGTGGATTTCAGGACACTTGGCTAAAAGATGTCCCAGCAAAAACAGAGTGGTCATTGGACAGAGTGTGGATCCGATTCAGCTGGTGGTCCCCTGGAAATATACACCCCCTGTTCTGTCTGCTAGCCCAAGAAGACACACGAGGCTCTAACTCTCCGCGCCCCACAGCATCCAAAGCACACCCACAAATGGATGCCACAGCAAATGGAAAGTAAATGTAATTCCCCACCTGAACTGAGCCCATCTTAGAGTCTATTAGCAGCATCTCCAAATGCCACCCTCGGGACAGCAGTGCCTGTCAGATGGGCCTGTGTGTGGAATGGGAATCGTGGGCAGGCTGGTGGTCTTCAGAAAATCTTCATTAAAGTAACAAAGTTGAAGGGTGCATGGCAGCAGTAAGGCAGCAGACGCTAGAATCTTAGCAAAGAGCTCTACCTTGTCGAACTGCTCTAGGCCCACATCCCACAACCTGGGTTGAGGGGCAGAGAAAGCAGACCCTCTCTCCCTGAGACCCACCTGCCTTGGGAAACCTGCCATCCTTTCTCTTGATAACCAATTGGCACTGGTGTCCCTGCCTCCAGATTGGGAGCAATCGTCCCTCAGACCTAGAGTCTAGGTGGTCCCTGTTTTGGCTACCAACCCCAGAATTGTTTGACAGGTGGGCTGAGGTAGTTGAGAAAACACAGAATTGTCAGAGAACCAAGAACTCGAGTCATGGAAATCATATGCTTTGGGCACAAACTCAGACTTGCAGCTGAAATCTGGTTGAGGGATGCCAGCTGAAGACAGGATTTGGTCAAAGTCTTCAGGAACCCACATGGAGTGGGGAGGGAGAGCCATGAGAAGGGGCGTTAGAGTCCTTGGCTTTGAGAACCCACAGAACAGGCACTATCTGGTAGCAAAGTCTTGGTGGGTTCATGCCAACGTACACTTCGCATCATACCCTTGCACTTGGCATCTCTGACCTTGAAGTCAACTGTAGCCAGAAGAGGCATCTCCAGAGACCCTGGATTCCAGGAGGTCTTTAGAGGCACCATAAATGGGTCAGAACCAACTAGAAGAGCCCTTACATGCTCTCATCTCGAGGCCTAAAGTGGGGTCTGCTCTTGGTTCCCCAGGTTGCTGAGCTGTAACAGTAACTTCTCTGGCAAAGCTAGGTCCCTGTGAGTGACTCGGTCATTGATCTTCCAGTGCCTACTCAGAAGACCACAGGGCAGGTCAAGTCTGATGCCCACCACTCCTGATGCCAGAGCCCAGGAATTCTGGCAGGGCTGGAACCTTCTAGCAAACCACCGCCAAGCTGCAGAACCCCAGTGCTTACCCCTCTTCAGACAGCCCCAGAGTTTGGTTGAAAAAACCCAAAACAGTTTGAAACTGGTAAGTGTAGACAGCAACAAAGACCACCACTGAGTATCACAGCACCATCCTTCAGAAGTCCCTCAGGGTCCACCTCCAGGTAGCCTCGTGCATCTGCAAGGCAGACACAGGCCCTGAATGTGTGCTCAGCAGCTTACTAGGGGCCAACTGAGGTTCAAAAGCCTGCTCCACCCTGTCACCCCAATCCATGGAAAATCATCATCTCCAGCCCCAGACTCATTCTCAAACTGCGGTCTAAGTGAAACACAAAATGAAGTCAGGGGTCCATGGCTGGAGCTAAGTTGCCCTCAGAAAGTCAATGCTGAGAGCCTGAGGAAGTCCTTTTTTTTTTCTTCCAGAAGCCTGTGAGTCAGGTTTGGAGTTGTGTGTGTTTATTGAACAATCTGGGAGGTATTGGAAATCAATCTCCCTCTTTCTCACACGCACCATCTTCCGCTAGCCAGTGAGTCAGACCTGCAGGGCTGTTTGGATGTGAAGGTTGCTATGTATAGAGTCAATCCGGTGGGCAAAAGGGCTCCTGTGGCTGCTCTCTGGACTTCATTACCACTAAGGGTCCCTGGGAAGTGGACAGGGTGGAGGATCCTGGGCTCCCCTCTCCTTGGTCTGCCTATAACCTTGCTTTCCTCAGCTCTGGGACCTCAATGCTGGCTGGGAAAATGCAAGAAGTGTCAGAGTTGGCTGGGCTGTCCGGGACCACCTCCTTGGCCTCCACACGCCACCTGCGTTGTGGGGCTGCTCTATGAGTTTCAAGCAAGGCCCTGGGCTTGGTCCCACATGACAAGACGCAGCATTGTTGGTCTTCTCCCCTTGCCAGAGTACACTTGTCCCGTGGTGTCACTGTCGCTGGCACAAAACTCGGCCAATCTTGTAAAAATCAGTGTCTATGGGGTGAAAGTGACACAGTCACATGACAGCCTGGATAGGAAGTTGGGGCAGCGAGGGGCAGCGCGGGGAAGATGGGCGAGCATGGTGGCACAGTTTGAAGAATGTCATCGATGGCACTGAGTGACATGTGGAGAAATTGTTGGAGGGAGTGTGTTCTGTTGTGAATACTCACAACAACAATTTTTTAAAAAGAAAGAAATGTATGACCCTGCCCCGTGCGCGTCCTGTGGCGTTTGCTTGATTTGGGGCCGGAGGCCTCACTGAGCGTTTATGGAACCAGAATGCAGAACTGTTGGGAAGCAAGGTGGAGTTGGGCTACCTAGACAGGAAGAGGAAGATGTAGGTGGTCTAGTACTCTGCCACTTTGGTGACGAAGAGTATGGCCCCACAGATGTGGATCCAGTACTTGGCCCGAAGGCCCCAGAGGAAGGGGTCGAGCACATTGACCAGGACGCTGGGGGGGGCGGGGGGTGTCTGCTTGGTCCTGGAGGGAGGATGGGGGAGCTGTCAGGACTGGTGCTGGGTGGGCTCCCTGTCCCCCAGATGTACCCACCCTCTGCTCAGTGCCACCATGGCTACAAGGAACTCCAGCACCTGAGTTTAGGGACTCTTCCTGCTCCTTCTGAACACTCCTGTCACACAGCAGGCTCAAGAGGCACCAAATGCTCAGATGAATCAGGGTGGGGGAATTGGAGGACTGAGCCATGGGCTGCCTGCACCCCCCAATGCCCATAAGAAGTAGAGTGCCAGGATTGTTCACTGACACTTGAGACTGTAGGCCCAGAAAGTTACAGCAGATGAGATGGGTCAAAGCTGAAGGGGGAGGGGCCCCTCAGCTCCACCCCCAGGCAATGGCTTGTCCCGGGAAGTAGGGATAGCAGCTGGGATCCGACTATGGCCAGAGAGTTCCAGACACAACATTTGGATGAGGGGCAGTCCCTGGCCCCACCCTGAGCTTCCAGCATGACCTGAATCACCTGGGACACACCTTGATGACCTGAATCACCTGGGACACACCTTGATCCCAGCCAGGGAAGTCAGGCTGGGGTCAGAGACTCATGGCACACCCATGCGTATTCTCTAAGGCTCTGAGGTCCCCAGTGGATTTTAAACCAGGCACACAAATGTCCAGCACTTAATGCTGCCTGAAAACCCGAGGACAGGAGGCAGCATTGAGGTTCTAACTCCCTGCAGCCCCGGCTTCACCCTTGGGAGCCACAGCCTCCACTTTTGCCAGCATCTGTCTCTCCAGGACGTGTTGTTGCAGCAGCCAGAATAACAACGCATCCAAGCTCTGAAGTGAGACGTAAACCACGGCGGCTCCCACCTCGCTGCTGGGCTGAGAGGAGAGTGCTTACTCTGACAGCTCTTAGAGGACCTGCTGTCCAGGAGCCCAAGGCATAGGGATGGCCTACACACGACTGCTCCATCACGGCCCACCCACGTGAAGCCCATGGCCCCCTGCTCAGGTCCCAGGGGTCAGAGCGTGAGGGAGTGACTTGCAGAGAAGGAAGCTCAAGCCCAGAGCCCAGACACACACACAGGGCCGCGGGGGCCCTGGACACATCTCCCTTCTGCTCTCCACGCCCCCTGTGTGCAGTCCATTGTTGCCATCTCTTCTGAAAGGGAAAGTTTCTTACCTCCCAGTCCCTGCAGGCCCTCCCAGAGCCCCGTTCCCACCTCAGAACACAGAACCTGTGACCCTACTTTGGCGCCAAGATGAAGATACAGCTGGGGGTAGGGCTTGAGGTCCAAGTTGGCAAGGAGTCAGTCGGGGAGTCCTGGGAACAGCTCTTCGTGGGACAGGCGTAGCCCCATGTGGAAATTGAGAAGGTTGGTATAGATGACCATGCTGCAAGCACTGAGCAGGGCCAGAGAGAGGCGGTGGTGGGCCATCCAGACAACACAGGCCCAAACAGCAGGTCAAAGCTCAGCCAGCTGTGGTGAGTGATGCTCCACACCTGGGCAGGGCAGCACCGGACCCCTGCTCACACCTCAGGACCAGAAATCCCACCCTTCTTGGGAAGCCATCTTCAGGGTTAGCCTCCAATGCCCCCATGAGCAGGAGCTCCAGGCAGGGCTCTCCCACCCAGCCACGCAAATGGGTCTCTCTGTTCTGCTTTGGAATTAAGACTTGGATCTGATTCATTCTGTATCAGAGTAGGCCAAAGCTCTGTTTTGCAGAGAGTAGTCGGAAAGGACTCAGATTTCCAAACTCAGGGTCCTTCTCCCCAACCTCCTAGCCTACCATGGGAGTCAGCTCTCAGATGTGGATGAAGAATTGAGACCCAGCCCTCCTGCATAAAGAGACTCAACACCTGCACAGCAGGGAGAATTTCCTCAAAGGACTTTGCTTGTGGTGGGAATGGGAAGTCCCACCCTCCCAGTTACAAAGAGGAGCCGAAGGTGGAGTTTGTTGTAAATCAAGACCCTTATAATGACACTCAAAATCCATAAGAGAAAGAACACTGGAAAATACGCAAATAGGTGTAACCAATAGATCAAATAAATCAAGAGAGAAATTTTTTAATATTTTAGGGTGAAAGGGGTCAAAGTCCACTCAATGGAGAAGAAATATTTTCTTTAACAAATGGTGCTAGAAAAATTGGATCTCCTTTGGCAGAAATAGTGAAATAGGATCCCTGCCTCACACCATACACACACACACAAATATATCAAAATTTATTTGATAGGAACAAAGACCTAAATGTTAAAGCTAAAACTATTACATTTTTTGGAAGGGGACATAGGAGCAAAACTATGAGATGTAAATTTTTCAGAAATAGATTATTAAGCACAACTACAAATGCACAACTTTCTATGAAGAAGAGCATGGCACCAGAATTAGAGGAAGACTCATTCACAACTTGTGATATGCAGGTGACACAACCTTGCTTGCTGGAAGCAAAGAGGACTTGAAATATTTACTGATGAAAATCAAAGACTACAGCTGTCCATATGGATTGCACCTCAATGTAAAGAAAACAAAAATCCTCATAACTGGACCAATAAATAGCATTGTGATAAATGGAGAAAAGATTGAAGTTGTTAACGGCTTCATTCTGCCTGGATCCACAATGAACATTTACAGAAGCAGCAGTCAAGAAATCAAACAACGTATTGCAACCTGTTTAAAATGCCCAAGAGCAAAGATGTCAGAGTGAGGCTTAAAGTGCATCCAGTCCAAGCATGGACAATGACTATGAAAGGCCTTATGTGAATCAATGAATTTGAAATATGGAAGTGGTAAAGATGAAGTACGATGGACAGCCAGAAGAACAAACAAACCTGTTTTGCAAGAAGTACAGTCAAAATAATCCTTAGAAGCAAGGATGACGAGACTTTGTCACTCATTCTTTGCACATGTTGTCAGAAGAGACAGGTCACTGGAGAAGGACATCATGCTTGGTAAAGTGGAGGGCCAGTGAGAAAGAGGGAGATCCCCAATAAGACAGACTGACACAGTGGCAGTAACCGTGGGCTCAAAACTAACAATTGTGGGAATGGTTCAAGACTGGACTGTCTCATTCTTTTGTGCATAGGGTCACTATGAGTTGGAACCAACTCAATGGCATACCACAGCAACAAATGCACAAGCACTAGAAGAAATATTAGCAAAATGGAACCTCCTAAAGTGAAGTACTTATGTTCATCAAAAAACTTTATCAAAAGAGTGAAAAGAGAAACTACACACTGGGGAAAAATTTTTTGGAAAAATGTTCCTGATGAGTCTTTAATTTCTAAAGTATATAGAAAAATTCAATAACTCAACAGCAAAAAGACAAACAACTCTATTAAAATATGAGCAAAGGACATGAACAGACACTTCACAAAAGAGGAGATTCAAGCAGCCAACAAGCACATGAAAAGATGTTCATGATCATTAGCCATTGTTGTTGTTGTTGTTAAATGCTGTTGAGTTGGTTCTGAATTATAGTGGCGACTCTGTACAGGGTTTCCAAGAAGCAGCTGGTGGGTTTGAACTGCTGACCTTGTGATTCACAGTCCAGTGCTGTTTCTAAAGCACCATACCAGGAGTCCATAAGACTTCTAGCCTGTACCAATAGTCTCATCTATCCTGAAGCCAGATAACCCACTGTTCTGATTAGGGACACAGAATTGGTACAAGCGAGGATGGGAGAAAAATGTAGAACAAAACTCAGTTAGAGTCCTGGTGTGGTGCTGAAGGAGAAACATTGGATTGCTAACTGCAAGGTCGGAGGCTCAAACCTACCAGCTGCTTCTCAAAAACCCTATACCAGGTCACTTTGAGTTAACATTAACTTGATGGCACTTAACAATAACAATAATCCTGAGACCAGAGGAACTAGATGGTGTCCAGCTACTAATACCTAATACTCTGAACAGGGACACAATAGATAGCCCCAGACTGTTGTTGTTGTTAGGTGCCATCGAGTCGGTAACGACTCATAGCGAGCAACCTTATGCACAGCAGAATGAAACACTACCGGGTCCTGGGCCAACCTCACTACTGTTGCCACGCTTGAGTCCATTGATGCTGCCACATAACCAATCCATATCGTCGGGGGTCTTCCTCTTCTTCTCTGACCCTCCAACTTCCCAAACATGATATCCTTCTCCAGCGACTGCTCTCTCCTGACAATATGTCTGAAGTAAGAGAGACGAAGTTTGGCCATCCTGTCCTCCAAGGAGCATTCTGGCTGTACTTCTTCCAACACAGATCTGTTGGTTCTTTTGGCAGCCCATGACACTTTCAATATTCCCCTCCAACACCATAACTCAAAGCATTAATTCTTCTACAGTCTTCCTTATTCACTGTCCAGCTTTCGCATGCATAGGAGGTTATTGAAAATACCAAGGCTTAGGTCAGGCACACCTTAGTCCTCAAGCTGATATCTTTGCTCTTCAACACTTTAAAAAGATCTTGTGCAGCAGATTTGCCTAATGCAATACGTCGTATGATTTTTTGACCGCTGCTTTTGTGAGTGTTGATAGTTAATCCAAGAAGAATGAAGTCCTTGACAACTTCAATCTTTTCTCCATTGATAAGAATGTTGTTTATTGGTCCAATGGTGAGGATTTTTGCTTTGTTTACATTGAGATGTAATCCATACCAAAGGCTGTGCTCTTTGATCTTCATCAGTAAATGTTTTAATCTTCTTCACTTTCAGAAAGCAAGGTTGTATCATCTGCATATCTCAGGTTGTTAAGGAGTCTTCCTCCAATCCTGATGCCACTTTTTTCTTCATAGAACCCAGATTCTCGGATGATTTGCTCAGCATACAGGTTGAATAAGTATGGTGGAAGAATGCAAACCTATTGTACACCTTTCTTAATTTTAAACCATTCAGTGTTCCCATGTTCTGTTTGAACAACTGCCTCTTGGTCCAGGTACAGATTCCTCATGAGTACAATTAAGTGTTCCAGAATTCTTATACTTTGCAATGTTGTCCACAGCTTGTCATGATCCACATAATCGAAAGCCTTTGTGTAGTCAATAAAGCACAGCTAAACATCTTTCTGATATTCTCTGCTTTTAGCCAAGATCCATTGGATGTCAGCAATGATATCCTTTGTTCCATGGCCTCTTCTGAATCCAGCTTGAACCTTTGGAAGTTCTTTGTCAGTGTATGCTTGCAGCATACATACTAGGAAGAAGGAGTGATGAATTGCTTCCGAATATTTAGTCACTGAGAATCTTGTGAATAACAGAGCCCCAGATAGAAGGAGAAAAAAAATGTAGAATAAAACTCAAATTCATTTTTTTAAAACACTCTGTTTAATGAATGACAGCAACCATATGATTATTATGAACTCAGGAAATAGAAGATTCATGAAAATTAAAAAATTAATCCAGTAGATATCAGAGAATAAGCAATGTTCTAGGACGAAACCAAAAGCAAATAAAAAACATTCTTATGTAAGGTAATTGAATCCAGGTGCGTGCATCTCTTTTAAATGTATGAAGAGTAAAGTGAAAGTGGATAAGGCAAACTAAGAATTGCTGTCTGGATGGCACCTTCCACATTGTGATCCTGTCTCGCTGTGGGGATCATTCACATTTCCATGATAGTCTCTATTCCAATAAGCATAAAGAAAATACTGTAGATTTTCCAAGTTGTTTTCTAAACAATACAACTCTCTTACACCTGATAAAACAACAAAAACGTGATTATCCCATCATTCATAAAATTATATTCTGAAGCAAAATAAACTTTATATTAAAATACACATTTTAAAGGCCTATATATATATATACAAGGACCTCTGGTAGCGTAGTGATTACAAATTGGGTGGCTAACCTCAAGGTCAGCAGTT